ATGGACCTGTGGGGCCCAGCCCGCGTCCGTGGGCACGGTCACGAGCGCTACTTCCTGCTGGTGGTTGATGACTAGTCGCGTTACACCACATTCTTCCCCTTGCGCAGCAAGGGTGATGTCACTGAGGTAGACGCAGTCGAGCCTCTCGAGGTTGCTGGTGACTGTGGTGCTGCTGAGGGTGCTTCGCCTAGGGGTGCTGACTCTAGGGGTGCTGAGCCTGAGGGTACTGCTAATGGGGGTGCTGGGTCTGGGGGTGCTGCGACTAGGGGTGCTATGCCTGGGGCTGCGAAGCCTGGGGGTGCTAAGCCTGGGGGTGCTACGCCTGGGGGTGCTGAGCCTGGAGGTGCGGAGCCTGGGGGTGCTGAGCCTGGGGGTGCGGAGCCTACGGGAGCTAGGCCTGCTCGTGTCGCGTCCGGCGGTACTCTGCCTGGAGGTTCTCCGGGTGCTTCGCCTCGGCGGGAGCCACTCTCTCCACTCGAGCTGCGCGAGTGGTTTGCCTTGCGCTTGAGGCGTGCTGCTAGAGCAGGAGGTTCGCCGGCTGCTGAGGGTGCTGCTGTCGCGGGTCGCGAAGGTGCTCGAACTAGGAGAATAGGAGCTGCTTGGCCTGCGATTACGACTGGAGGTGGAGCTACTGAGGGTTTTGGCGCTGAGGCTACTGCTGGCGGTCCCGCTAGGGGTGCTACTGGTGCTACTGGAGGTCCTGGAGCTACTGAAGCTGCTGGGGGTACTGGGGCTAAAGGTGCTGTTGGAGCGGGTGCTCCTGCAGGGGGTACTGGTGCTGTCCCTGCTGTGTCTAGAGTCGCCGCGCGGCCTCGACCATACTTCGTTCCACTCCTTCAGCAGGTTCTTGGTCTTCCGCCTTCTACTGGTCCTCCTCCTCCCTTAGAGGGTCCACAGCCTGTCTCGTCACAGTTACAGTTACAGCAGGCCTCCCCCTTGCCTGCTCCTTCTCCCTACTCTGGTCCTACTAGAGGTCTTGCTGAGCGTCGTGAGCCTCCGTCTCGCCCTGCGTCGCCTGTCGGTCCTGCTCGCACTGGTGGTCGTGGTTCGCGTCCGCGTCCTCCTCCTGTCCCTGGCACGCACCGGATGTCTCTGCGTCCGTCCACTGCTCCTCTACGTGCCCCTCTGCCTTCTCCTCCTAAGTCCTCTCTTCCTGCTCTTCCCGACCGGAGTCGGACTCTCTTCGTGCTGCCAGTCCTACTGTCACGCGTCTCCTTGCGACTGTCGTCAGTGACCCTTCCTTTGTGGCCATTGCTGCGTCTGCCCTAGTTGCTGAGCTCGTCGCCTTTGCTGCTCGCTGTCGTCTAGACTACGCTGCTAGTCTTGTCGCTGAGTCGGCGTCTGTCTGTCCTCCGTCCGTCAGGGGTGAGTGTGCCCTTGGCACAGACGTCGTTGAGGACACGCAGGAGGAGTTCCAGTGTTTTGCTGCTGCTTCACCTCATCTCGTGTCTGTACTGCTTACCCCTGTGGGAGACCCGGATGCACTTGACATCCCGACTCCGCGCTCTTACGCGGAGGCGATAGAGAGTCCCTACTCCTCTCAGTGGCAGGCAGCTATGGACACAGAGATAGCTTCCTGGAAGTCTACAGGCACCTACGTTGATGAGATTCCCCCGCCTGGGGCGAACATCGTCAGTGGCATGTGGATCTTCAGGGTGAAGCGGCCGCCGGGTTCTCCGCCTGTCTTCAAGGCGCGTTACGTGGCTCGTGGCTTCAGTCAGCGGCAGGGAGTTGACTACATTCAGACCTTCTCTCCCACCCCAAAAGAGGACCACTCTTCGGGTAATGCTGCACGTAGCTGCTCACCGTGACTACGAGCTGCACTCTCTTGAATTCAGCACTGCTTTCTTACAGGGCAGCCTGCACGAGGAGATCAGGCTGCGCCGCCCACATGGCTTCACTGGGTCTTTTCCTCCTGGCACCCGGTGGAGCCTCCGGCGGCCAGTCTACGGTCTCCGCCAGGCACCGCGTGAGTGGCACAACACACTGAGGACTACACTTGCGGCTCTTGGGTTTGCTCCTTCTACTGCCGACCCGTCGTTGTTTCTGCGCACTGACACCTCTTTGACGCCGTTCTACATCCTCGTGTACGTCGACGACTTGGTCTTTGCCACAGCTAACACTGCTGGACTCGCCTACGTGAAGTCCGAGCTGCAGAAGAGACACACGTGCACTGACCTGGGTGAACTGCGCAGCTACCTTGGCTTGCAGATCACCTGGGACAAAGCACGCCGCACCATTACCCTGACTCAGTCACACATGGTCCAGCAGGTCCTTCAGCGCTTCGGCTTCACGTACTCCTCGCCTCAGGCCACTCCTCTGCCTACTCGCCACTCACTCTCAGCTCTGCCTTTGGATGAGTCTGTAGAGTCGAGTGGCCCGTACCCAGAGCTTGTTGGCTGCCTCATGTACCTGATGACCTGCACACGACCTGACCTTGCATACCCTCTTAGTATTCTCGCATGCTATGTTGCTCCTGGGAGACACAGACCGGAGCACATGGCTGCAGCGAAGAGGGTGTTGCGCTACTTGTGCAGTACGTCGGGCATGGGGCTAGTGCTTGGAGGGCGGAGTCCAGTGGTCCTCACTGGGCACGCAGACGCTTCTTGGGCTGACGACCAGGCTACGCAGCGGTCGTCACAGGGTTACACCTTCAGCCTTGGTTCCGGCTCTGTTTCGTGGCGGGCTACTCACTCGTCTTCTGTTCTCGGCTCTAGTTGTGAGGCTAAGATCTACGCAGGGGCCATGCACACCTGAAGGGGCAGGATCCTGAGGGGGGAGGGGGTCTACCGGGGGGGGACGTGGTACAAGGAAGAGCGGGGGGGGGGGGGGGAGGGACGGAGTGCGGTAGGGGAAGAGGCGGTAGTAGGGGACCGACTCGTCAAACGTGACGTTCTGGGAGGACAGAACACGGCGAGAGGTGGGGTGGTAAAACTGCCACCCAGGCGCGTCAGGGGGGAACCTCAGGAAGACGCAAGGAGCAGCACGAGGGGACAGCTTGTCCGCAGACAAGTCGCGGACAAACGCCCGAGATCCCCAGACCCGGAACGCCGACGCATCGCCAACCTTCCCCGTCCACAGTAAGGCTGGGGAGGTCTCCACACCTCCACCTCCACTGCCCCCGCTCGCTCCTCCAGCACCCCTGCTCCCCTTGCCCTTGCCAGAGCGGCGTCTCCTGCTAGGGGCAGACGCCGCACCGACCGAGTCAAGACCAAGGAGGTCGGCCGCAGCAGCAGAGGCAACAGAGGGCAGAAGGGGGGAGGGGGAACACCCCTCAAAGATGGGGGTGCGCGGGTCACCACGAGAAGCCCCTACAGTGTCTATGCTCTTCTCGGCCGCTAGGAGGGACTTCTCGACGAGGTCAACAGTGAAAGTGGTGGGACAGACTGAGAGGAAGTGGTCCCTGACTACGCGAAGGGAGACAGGGAGGCGAGTGACTATGTAGTAGAGAGTGATGTACATGGGTGGAGTGACAAGAAGCGCAGCGCGGTAGCGAGTGTCACTAGTGCGGAGGTGCGTAATGAGGTCAGCGACTGTGGGAAAGGCAGCAAGGTCAGGGAAGAGGTACGGTAGCATGAGACGGCTCAGTGCAGCAGTGGCAGGGGAGGAGTAGCGCGCAACTACAACGTCGTACAAGGTCTGAGCACTCTTGTACTGACTAAAGTGCGCACGCTTGGAGGTAGGGAGGTGGCGACGCACAGCAAGACGTGCAGCAGCGTCGCGCGTGGCCCACTGGGAGCAAACAGTAGCGTCAACATCAGCAGCAGGGGGAGGAGAGGCGCCAGAGGTGAGATCAAAGAGAGAGAGACCGTCTGCCCTATCGCACTGTAAGAACAGCTGCAGGTCATCTACCCAGACGTCAAAGTCAATGGCTCGACCCTCAGCGTCAAAAGCGAGGACACCAGGGGTAGCCATGACAACAGTAGACTGGCAGCGCAAACAGTAGGGAAAGGGCAGTGCAGTGACAGAGGCGCTGTGCTCACCGGACGGGACTGCTCGGGCGGCTCGGCGGTAGGGCGGCTCGGCGACTCGGCGGCTCGGCTGCTGGGCGGCTCGGCGGCTCGGCTGCTGGGCGGCTTGGCGGCTCGGCTGCTGGGCGGCTCGGCGGCTCGGCTGCACGGCTGGTGGGCGGCTCGGCTGTCCGGCTGCTCGTCCGCTGGGTAGCTCGGATGAGCTGCTGCAGGGCGGAACGGCGGTCGGCTGCCCGGCTGGGTGAGACGGCTCGGGCGGCTCGGGTGACGGCCGGCGCTACAGCCGACGACGGCGCCTGCGCCGTATAGGTAGGTGGCGGGGCCGTCGGTAGGTGGGGGGGCCGCTGGTAGGTGGCGGGGCCCGCTGGTAGGTGGCGGGGCCGCGTGGGGACGGCGCCGAGGCCGGCAAAGATGGCGCCGGGGCCGCACAGGTAGGTGGCGGGGCCGCTTATTGGTGGCGGGGCCGCAGGTAGGTGGCGGGGCCGAAGGTAGGCACCGAGGCCGTACAGGGAGGCGTCGGGGCCGATAGGTAGGCGTCGAGGCCTCAGGTAAGGGCGGCGTCAGGGCCGCAGAGCAACGCAAGGGCCGCGGGGTGGGCAACGAGGCCGCAGGGTGGCGAATCGGGGCCGCAAGGGCGGCAAGGGCGGCGCGATGCGGCCGTTAGGGCGGCGCGACGCGACCGCCAGGGCAGCGTGACGACGCCGCGAGGGGCTGCTAAGGGCGACGCGACGGGGCCAGGAGAGGCCTAGCTAGAGCGCGACGGTAGGGAGGGCCTCGGGGCGCGACTCGGGCCTAAGCGGAGCGCGCTCCGGGCAGGAAAAAAAAGATTCGTAGTGGTGGGCCCTAGGAATCGTTCCTGTAAGGGAACCTGCTCTGATACCATGAGAAGAAACAAGAATGAATGAACTATGAATGAGTTGGGCACAAGTACTAACTCTAATTGGGTTGTACCCCCTATAGGATACCCCACTACAGCCTACACAAAAGCATAAGCTATAATGTTCCGACATCCTCCACCTGTGCTGCCTGCTACAGCGATGCTGCGTTGCCCAGCTGGGCTGAGAGGGCTAGTGATAGGAGGGAATGGGCCTTGGCTAAGTTTCCCTGCTGCCGCTCCAAGCATGCGTATGCCTGCGATACACGACGGTGAAGAGGGAGCAAGGAGAGTGGGGGGGGGCATGAGTGTTGTGAGGGGGTGATATATGCAAGTGGAGGGAGAAGGGGCATGGAACAACTCAAAGCCACATTACGATCACACGACACTACAAAGCAGGTTGGCGGATTCCAACAAGGGAAGAAAAATGTAGTTGCATGCGGGGTGAGGTTAGAGGGGAGGGAGCATACCTCAAGAGTGGGGACTGAGTGGGGAGCAGCCTCCAGGCAGCGGTCAAATAGCCGCCTTGCCGCCTCAACATCTCCTGCTGCATGCTCCATCCCACCCCACGCCTGCAACGCCCGCACACACCCATGCTGCACCTCCAAGCACTTCACAAACAGTCCCCTGGATGTCTCTCTACTCTCGGTTGTGGCTAGTCGGGCCTCCTGGCACGCCCATGCGTGCAGTGTGGGGATGGACTTGGGGTTGGGTGATAGAGTCAAGCGGAAGAGGGCTCGCATGCGGTCCACCTGGCCAGCCTTTGCTTCGAGGAGGGCCCATACCTGCGGTGGAATGAGGGATAGGAGAGAGTGCATGGGCAGGGTGAGGAGGTGGTGGGTTGTTTTTGAGACGTCTCAAAAACACCCTCACTTCACGTGGCCCATGCCTGCTGTGGAATGAGGGATAGGAGGAAATGCATGGGCAGGGTGAGAGGTGGTAGGTTGTTTGCTCACAGCTCCATGAAGTGAGGGTGTTTTTGAGACGTCTCAAAAAGAGGGCCCATACCTGCGGTGGAATGAGGGATAGGAGAGAGTGCATGGGCGGGGTGAGGAGGTGGTGGGTTGTTTGATCACAGCTCCATGAGAGGCAATTGCGATGCCACGCATTGAATTGCAGACAGCATACTAACAGGGAGAGCTCGAGAGCAGTAAAAGGAATCAACGAGGAAGAGAGAGTGAGAAGAGAGCAGCAGCAAGCGTATAAAGTTTTGCGCGAACAGTGATACAGTGAGTGAACCCACGTGCTAGGACGCAGCGTCAAGAGGGGCAGCAGCAGTGGACTTCTTGAAATAGCACCAGGCGGCACTCAGGTTCTTCATGGAAGCTTCCAAGAGAGCGCGTGATAGCAGAACCACCGGGCTGCCCGGCTGGAGCTTCTCTCCCTGCTCCAGCAGGTTTCGGGCAGCTTGAAAGCATCCCGTGAGTGCGGGGAGCTAGTGCCAACCGCCAGAGCCGCCTCCTCATAGGTCTGTGCACTGCGGCGGTACCACGCCCTGGCGGATGCTGCGGATGTGGTACCAACCGTCACCGCCAGAGCCTCCTCATAGCCTTGGGCGCTACAGCGGTACCACGCCCTGGCAGCTCCTGTGTTGCCTGCCTTCCTCTCTGCTAGCGCCATGTGCTCCTGAACTTGGGGACTCGTAGGCTGCTTGGGTAGCAGCTGCGGGAGACAGGGAAGACACGGGGAGACAGGGGGGCGAGGGAAGCAGAGAGAGTGTGCGTGAGGGACACCGAGAAAACGGGGTTGCCTGCCTTCCTGCAGGAAACGGGAAATAAAAAGTAAGGCAGGAAATGACTCATAGCAGCATATTCACAGCAGCGTCTCTCCTCTGCATTTCAAAACCTCCTCACCCACTCCCTTCCTCTTCCCCGCTACCTTTGATCTCACCCCGCACCACCTAGTCTCCACTCACCTCATCCAGCATGGCTCTAGCAGTCGTCATTCCACTCCGCGTCCGCCCACTTAGGTGCCGCCTCATGGCATTCAGCGCGCCTGCCACGTCCGCTCCGCCGCGCCGCTCACCCTCCCTCTCCCCTTACGTCTCCACCGCCTGCGCCTCCTTTGCGCCCCTTCCTACTTCCTTAGCCCCCAGATGTTGGTCAGGAACTTCTGTGGTTTCTATCGCCGCTCGCCTGACTGCCGACGGCAGGCGCTCAAAGCTCAGTCTCGCTGTTGCGGAGATTAACTCTACAACAGTAGTGAGCTAGACTATGGGGGTTGGCACGAACTACTAGAGGTGATCGTAGCTTTGCTTGGTTCCTTAGTGCTTGCACATTCACGGGAGAATTTGGCAAGAGTTTTCACTAGCAAAGTTAGAATTCCATAAAAGATACAAGCAAGGAAGCACAAGAATGACTACATAAGACACCTAGCAACCCTGCTGCTAGCCTGGTCGATCGCCAGCACAGCTCAGTCGATCGCCTGCCAGAGTTGCGTAGAGGAGCCGCGCCAGCACTGCAGAAAGGTGACCTGCCAATGGAGCAGGTCGACGGCGTGCCAGCGCTGCAGCAGAGCGGCTGTCCAGCGTTGCCCCGTAGAACACAGCAGTGTGCACGCTCGCAGGTGTGCGCAGACGATTGGCCCGACTTGCCTCGTTGGGCATTCGTCGGCTGTTGTCTGCGCCTGACAAGCCACATCGACTCCGGGATACCAGCCCGCAATCGCATGTGCCATCGCAACCTCGACGTCGTTCGCGTGCCTCCGTAGAACTCGTCGAGCAGGTTACCCAGTCGACCCGGTCGACCACCAGGTGCTTCCGGTCGACCACAACTCCCGTCGAGCTACCCCCTGGTCGACGGACCCCTTCCGTCGACCAGAACCATCAGCGGTTGTCGCCGAGCTCCCCTCTTCAAGCACTGCTCACTTGTCACGTCGACGGACTGCTCCGTCGACCTTCCAGTCGAACTGCAGGTCCTGGTCGACGTCCCACCAGTCGCCCAGACCAGTCAGTTGCAGCTGTCGAGCTCCCTAGTCGACAGCAACACCACAGCGGTCCCCTGCAGCTCGACGTAACCTGTCGAGCAGCTCTCCCACTGTGAACGGTCGGTTGCTACTCCTGTGCATCCGACCAAGTCGTCGGCGTTGCCCAAGCGAGGGCGGGGCCAGCACTCCATTTCTGCTTACACTCCCCTGCCGCGCTCACGCTTGGGCCTCCAACCCACACGGCATAACTCCACGGAGAAAACTCATCATCGGCGTGCACCCCACACACAGCACGCCGTTACCGCACTAGCCGTGCAGGAGGGCACGGCACCTACTACTGCACCTCATCGTCGCCGTCACCGACGTCGGATAGACGAACTTGGCCGATGGTTACAGAGCATAGGTTGAGAGCCGGAAAATGCAGCGCCTTCGTCAGGAAGTCCGCCGGCTGCTCAGTGGTCGGGATGTACTTCAGCACAAATTTCCCGCGCCTCACCATGTGTTGCAGCCAGGCGTAGCGTCGCTTCATGTGCTTGAGGTTGCCCGTCAGCCCCAAGCCCTTAGCGACTGTGATTGCCGACTTATTGTCGACGCGGAGGATGGTTGGCTTCCCAGCGTCGAGTAGCTTGAATTCCGCAAGGAAGAAGCGAAGTCGACGCCCCTCCTTGCCGGCATCCGTGGCCGCCACGTACTCCGACTCAGTCGATGACAATGTCGCGCACTTGATGCGCGAGCTCGACCAGGAGACTGCGGCTCCTCCGTAGACAAACACGTAGCCTCCCGTGCTCGTCCGGTTCTGCTTGTCGCCCGCGTCGTCGGCATCGACATAGCCGATCAGCTCCAATGATTCTGGTCCACCGCCTAACTCCAAGGCGGTATCGCGGGTGTCGGCGAGGTAGGCGAGGCAGCGGTCGACCTCGCGCCAGTGCTGGACGCTCCTCACTGTGAGGCCACTTCCCAGCTTGCTGCAGGCAAACGCGATGTCCAGCCTTGTCGTCGTCGCCGCGAACTACAGCGAGCCGACCTTCTGCCGGTACTCCTCCTCTTCGCGCTCCTGAGCCTCCTCATCATCGAACATCAGCTGAGCGTAGGCGTCGACCGAGACCGGTGTCTTCGGGACTCGACCGCCTTGCTCCTCGTCGATGAAGCGCCTGTGAAGCTTGTCGGCGTAGCCCTGCTGGTGCAGCCACAACTTCCTGGCCGGCCTGTCGCGCACGATCTCCAGCCCAAGGTACTTCACCACCGGCGAGATCTCACGTAGCTCGAAGGCGGCCTCCAGCAGCTCCTTCAGCTCCTTCAGCATCGCGGTGCTGCTGCTAGCGGCAAGCAGGTCGTCGACGTAGACCAGCACCCAGCAGGTCACTCAGACGTCGCTGACCTTGAAGTAGAGTGCTTCGTCGACCTAGCTCTTCTTCCGGCCAGCGCTCAGCAGCACACCGTCCAGAGCCGTGTACCAGAGCAGCGGTGACTGCTTCAGCCCGTAGAGGCTCTTCAGCAGCTTACACACCCGGCCGGTCCCGTCGTCGAAGTAGTCCGGCTGGTACATGTAGAGCACCTTGTAGAGCTTGCTCTGCAGAAAAGCGTTCTTCATGTCAAGGTGCATCAGGTTGAGGTCCAGAACGGCGACGATGCTGAGGAAGATCCTCAGCGTGACGTAGCTGCTCACCGGGGAGTACGTCTCGTCGTAGTCGGCGCCGTACACCTGCGTGAAGCCCTTCACGACTCGTCTCGCCTTCTCGCGCTCGACAGTGTCATCGATGCGGTACTTGGTCGTCAGCACCCATCGGTTCTTCATGATGTTCACCCCGCGTGGGCGTTCGACCAGCTCCCAAGTCCCCATAGCGATGAGGCTAGGGATTTCTTCTTCCATGGCGGCCTTCACTGCCTCGCCCTTCCAGCTAGACAGCGCCTCCTTCACCGTCATCGTGGCGATGTCCCAGCGGTGTTCGGGGTCGGCATGCACGTCAAGGTCGAGCTCTGGCAGGTCTTCATCCTCCTCGGCATCGTCGTACAGCAGGTCGGCGTCGACCTCGTCGTAAACCGTGGTGAAGGCAGCTGGCGGTAGGCATGCGTGGAAGCTCAACCGCTCCAGCGGCCGTCGAGCTCGACCTGTGCGTCGCAGCTCAGGCTTCGTGATCGGCACTTCCATTACATCGCTGTCGGTGGACTCCTCACCCGCCGACTGCCCCCCTTTCTCGTCGACGAGAACGTCGTCGACTAGCTGCTTTGACCCTTCGACCGGCTGTTTGTCTGTTGCTGCCTTCGACAACTATCCTGTCGAGCGCTCCGGCTGCTGCTCCCCTGTCGAGTGTACCCCTGCCGTTGCCTCCTATTCGACCGGCTCCCCTATTTGGTGCTCCCCTATCGTCAACGGCTTGCCATCTTGATCAACGAGCTTGGTGCCCTGTCGACCGCCGACGATGCCATGGGCCGGTGCCACAGGCCACGCCTCAAGGCTCCCCTCATCGTCGGTGGTCGACACAGGTGCCGACCCAGGCCGATCTGCGACGGGGAATGGAGAAGCAAAGACAGGGGGAGGGGAAGGAACCTCGACAACATCCTCATCACCAGGCTTGTCAACTTTGGCGAGCAACGGAACCGTCGCTGTCGATGTATCCGTTGGCGGGTGCGCCTGCGTTCGCTCCGACGCCGGCCCATACTTCGCCTTCCACACCTCCAGCGACAGCGTTTCGTAGAAGATCACCTCGACCGACGTGACCACCTTGTTGTCGGTCAGGTTGAGCACCTCCCAGCCCTTGCTCTCTGGTGACACACCCAGGTGAAGTCCCCATCGAGCCTTCGGCGCCAGCTTCCCACCACGTTGCTGCTCGGGAACCATGAACTGCACCATGCAGCCCCACACCCGCACCAGCGTAAGGTCGGGCTTCAGCCCGGTCAGCAGCTGGTACGGAGTCGTTCCCGACGGCGTCGTCGACCGCTCCAAGCAATTGCGCACCCAGACAGCTTGTCGTAGTGCAAGGTGCCACCAGTGGTGCTGCACGCCCATGTGCAGCAACATCGTCCGCACGGACTTGACGGCCGTGCGCATCTCCCGCTCAGCCATGCCATTCTGCTGCGGAGTGTAGGGGCACGTCAGGTCGTGGACGATGCCCTTCCCGTCAACAAAGTTGGTGAACGCCTTCCCGAGGAACCCCCCTCCTTGATCGGAGCGAAGCGACAGCACTGACTCCTTCGTCTGCCGTTCCACCAATACCAGCCACCGGTGGAACTCCCGCAGCACGTCGCTCTTCCTAGCGACCGGCATTGCCCATACAAATCGAGTATGGCGATCCTTCAGCAGCACGAAGTACAGGCTGCCATCCCTGGCAGCCACTCGAAATGGCCCGTACAAGTCAATGTGCACGACAGCCAGCGCCTCCGCTGCGTCCGAGCCCTTGGCAGGGAAGGTGTGCCGCGCCAGCTTTCCACCGACGCACGAGTCACACGGCGGGTCTGCTCCGGTCGACAGCGTGATGTCGAGCCCAACAGCAACTCTATGTTTTGCCGAGCTCTTGATCGTGTCGACGCCGACGTGCGCGAGCCTCGCATGCAGCCGATCAGGGGTCGCCTTTGACGCCGAGACGATCGTCCGCATAGCCACCACCTCGGTCGACGGCGACTGCATCAAGCAGGGGCAAAGTTCGGTGCAGAGGACTCGTCCGGTGTAGGGTGCTCGACCGAGCACCTCCCCGGTCGTAGCAACAAGCAGCATCTTGTCGCCGTCACCCTGCAGCTGCACTGCGCTCTCCTTCAGTTGGCCGGCTGACAGCAGGTTCGCCTGAACACCCGGAACGTAGAGCACGTCGGGGATGAGCACCCACTTCCCGGCCTCCCCTTGCAGAGCGACAGTTCCACGACCCTCGACAGACTGTAATGCCCCGTTGAACCCACGCATGTGCTTCACTCCTTCACTCGGCCCCATATCGACGAAGACCGACTTCGTCCCCATCAGGTGGTGGGAGCACCCGCTGTCAAGCAGCACCGCCATTGGGTTGGCTTGCA